GGAGTAGGTAAATGTAAGAAGTAACCAAATGCAAGACACCACTGCTGAAATCCCTGGCCAGCAAGATTATCAAGAACACAGACAAATAGATGGAGAGGTGGGTGGAGTACTACTTGGAACTGTACTCCTGGGAAAACACCATGCGCAGACAATTTACCCATGGGAAAGGCACCAGGACTCAATGGCATTCCACTAGAGGTCATCAAGTTCACAAAGAGTGTTCTGCTTGACTACATGGTGAGTCTATCAATGCTAGGAAGAGGGAACAGTGCCACAGGATATAAGTGACTGCAATGTTGTCACCCTCTATAAGAATAAAGGGAACTGAATTGATTGCAACAGTTACAGAGGAATCCCCCTACTGAACATTGTCAGGAAGGGCTTTGCCCATGTGGTTCTTAGTAGACTATAAAAGTTCACTGAAAGGGTATATCTTGATTCTCAGTGTGGTTCCAGGTTGAACCATTCCACGATTGACATGATCTTCTTCCTTCAAAAACTACAGGAGAAATGCCAAAAACAGAAACAACCACTGTACATTGCTTTCATTGACCTCACGAAAGCATTTGATCTTGTGTGCAGCGACAGCTTGTTCAAGATACTTGACAGGATCGGTTGTCCTCTGAGACTCAAGACCGTCCAGTCGTTTCATGCAGATATGAAGGGTATCATGCAATTTGGCAACTCTTATTCAGAGGCTTTCAATATCTACAGCAGTGTGAAGCAGGGTTGTGTGCTTGCACCTACCTTATCCTGCATCTTCTTCGCAGTCATGCTGAAATTTGTGTTCAGGGCTTCAACTGAAATCAATGGTATCTACCTGAACACAAGAACAGACAGAAGGCTGTTCAGTTTGTCTTGGCTGAGCAAAATCCAAATCCATGAGGTGCTCATTAGAGACATACTGTTGATGCAGCACTGGTAGCACACTCTGAAGAGAAACTGCAGCAACTCATGGACAATTTTTCAAAAGCCTGCCAAGAGTTCAGTCTGACCACCAATCTGAAGAAGACCAACATGATGGGCCAATGCATTGAACAGCTTCCCACCATAAAAATCAACAACTACAACTGGGAGGTGATTCATAAATTCACATATCCCAGGTACTTCCATTTTGGACACCCTTTCCCTAAACCTAGGTCAACAGACAGATTGGACAAGATGCTACCATATTCTCCAGGCTGACCTATCTATAGGGCATGTGACAGTGAGGAGAGGATAAATGGATGCTGGTCACTGTGGAGAAGAATCCTCAATGGAAAGAAAACAACATACTGACATTGAGAGAGAGAGCATCTTTATATGCATTTGTTGCAATTTAGACTGTCACACATGTGATTCAAAAAGGTGCTCATTCAAGGTTTCTTAAAAAAAGTGTAGAATCCACTACTTTCTTTTTAACACAAGATTTGTTTTCACTTAATTGTAATATTTTTTCTTGTCTAAATACAAAATAAAATGTAGAAAATTATTTCTAACATTAAATAATTAAAATAAAGATAAAATTGTTTCCTGTAATAAATTTCTAATAATATTTCCTAGTAGAAGATAAAAGACCAAGATTTGTGATAATTAAGTTTGTTTTCAAATTCAAAACTTCATTTAGTGAACCAAAACTTCTGTACATCAAAGTTATAACCATAAAAAAAAAATATTCATGATTTTCATCAAGCATAGATATTCCTTATATATATATATATATATAAAAATCAAATAATTTTCAGTAGTTTTTGGTTATTGTTTACACACTAAAACAAGTTGTAAAAACCAGAGAATTTTGACAGGACTTTAAAAATTTGTTTTCACAGATAAAAGTGAGAAATAAAGTAAATTTAAAGATAAATTTTGTCTTAAATATTTCTATTCATGCAGCAATGTACATATATTGGTGCATGAACAAAAATATGCAAATATTTCTTTATTACATTGCTGCATATTTCTTTATTACGTTGCTGCATGACTGTACATACATACATACACACACACACACACACACACTAATTATTTATGTATAATATGCACCCCCTAACTTTGAACTATAAAATTCTGGAGAAATACATCTCTCGTGAATAATACATACTGACGTTTTAGAATTTGTAGCAAAATTCAACATTTGTCCAACTTTTCATCTAGTTCATATCACTTAAAATAAGAATTTATATAGTTTACATTGTTTTGAAACAAAATGACACAGTATTTATAGCAAACACATGGACATGTTCACACAAAAATGCAATAAGCTTGTGGCAAAAATAAGCTCATACTAGAAGAAAGAAAATTACAAACACACATTCCAATGGCTATTTGTCTGTAGTGGCATAAAACAGAAGTGAACATTATGACAAAGACATCTACTACACTGACAAAACAGAGATGAAATTCTCATGATGTCTATCTCTGACACTGACAGCAATGAAGCAAACTAAAATGTACTCAATATCTATGTGAATAATCTTAAAAAACAAAGAAATGCAGTGTTTAGTTAGTGATTTAAATTCTTTGTTACACATTAGCTAATTTGAATCACAGATATAACTTTCAGTCATAACAACCTGAATATGTCTATGCAAGTAGCTGAGAAAAAAAGCTAATATTTTGCTTCCTATTCATCTCTAACTTTTAGGCTTAAAAATCAATTTATGTAAATCTTTAAGATTTGATTAAATTATATAGATGCAAGATGTTTATTATACAATCAACTTTCTCACTGACCAGTAGTTGTAGCTCCCAGCATCTTGTAAAGTAGTCATAAAAAGATTTCAGTAATAAGATTTGCTTATTATTCAAACTATTGTTCTCATCTTGGTTGTTAATGTTATAAATGTTTCAGCCCTGTATCCTCTGTCCATCTTCAGGTGTTAATTTTAGCTTATAAAATAAATCTTAATTATTCTTATGCTTGTCTTTGTAATGCCACTCCTTGTTCATTCCTGCTGAATGAGTGTGTATGGAATTTGTTACCTGATCAAGGTAATCAATGCTCTTATCTACTTGGCCACTGTATTGAAGGACATTGGATAATGTATATTTTAGAATCTTTTAAATCCAATATTAGATAGTTTGCCATATGACAGTTTAGCCTTGTGATGGTGTTAAGTCTGGGTAAAAGCCAAAATTTCAAATGTTGATTTTCAAGTGAGGAAGGCTCTTCACACTTGGAAGACTGGTGCAACACCATATTTCTACTCTCATTCTCATCTATCCCAACACCTGGCATTGTGCCAGACCAAGTGAAGCTTATCAATAGTCTAATGGTATTTGTGTATCAAGGCAGAGAACATGAACACATACTGCACTAAAAAACAAAATGATAAAAGAGAATTTTTCAACTGAAAAATCCACAGTATTTACATTAGTCGGACTATTGTCCTCATCCTTGTCGCCATATTTGTCACAACGTTTCGGCCGTTGTACGCTCCGGCCTTCTTCAGGTGGTTGGAATTTCGAACTGAACCCTTTATTTCGATCGCTGGGCCGAAACGTTGTGACAAATATGGCGACAAAGATGAGGACAATAGTCCGACTAATGTAAATACTGTACATAATACCTCATCTCAGAAATATAGACAAACTCTGAAAAATCCACATTTAATGGTTTCACATTCGATGAAAAAAAAAAAAAAAAAAAAAAAAATTTTCTTCAGCCAATCAGTTACAAAAAGCCAAGTATTATTTGCAAAATTTCACTTTATAGGTTTGAAAAAGAGTAAAACCAATTCAATGGGAATTTGCTTTTTGTTGATACTATAAACAACAAACCATGGATACAACATTTAGTTTCCTTTAAATTAGCAAAGTTTTGCTTTATCTGGTTTTGCTCTATCTATTTTTGAAGAACATAAACTGTTCTGGATTATCTAAAACAATCTACAATACAAAGCAGCTTCATCACTGCCACAATAAACAAAGGCTATATATAACTATACTTCATATTTAAACTTAAATAAGAGTATTTTTGTAACCATATTGTTGGTATGATATTTTAACATAAGCTAAAGACATTTTACCAACAATGAGTAGTATTCATTTTTGCAATTGTATAACACAATTTTACATACTACCGTTATCTGTTTATAAAGATATCAGAGAAACACCCGACTTTCAGGAATTTAAAAAAAAAAAAAAAAAAAAAATCAGTTTTTCCATTGAGTGAAATACTTCTTGGTAACAAATTAGTGGTCTTATTAATCCCAAACTAAAAACACATGCATGACAAAATGAATTATATTTAATATTTTAAAGAAGCAAAAGCATTGAGATTTGTTCTCAGAAATATCTGATAACTTTTGTCCATACCTGCAACCAGTAATTGAGTCTTTTGTTGTTTGAACAGATTTATAACACTTTTTAATATTTTGGCAAGAATGACAAATTTAGTTCCAGCTGTTCAGTCAATAATACTGATTTTTTGTAAAGATCAAATAACCATCCCCTAGCAATACTTATTTTTAAAAATAATTTCACCCTAAGAAAGGTGATAAAGCCACTAAGATACAAAGGGGGGTGGGGTAACTGTTTCAGAAATAAATTAGGGTTTATTAACCTGTTCAAAAGATAAATATAACTAAATTATTTTTAATAAAATCTTGTATGTAAATGTTTAGAAAGATTTTGAGTTTAGAAATGCAATAATTTTAATTGAGAAACCAAATATAAAAAAACTGATATATATTGTACTAAATAGTGTTGTTACAGTTAAAACTTGTTTTCTCTTTTTACTTTTGGAATAAAATAAATACCAGTTTCAGAGTTTAAATTAGAAACAATTATTGAGAGTTAAATTATGAAATTATAAATCGTTTATTTAGGCTTTAAGTAAAAAGAGAATATCTACTAACTATAATAAAAATCCTAAGCATAATTTATGATGTAATTTAGTTATTTTTAATTTTAAAAATGATTGACGACTTGGGAGATAGGTCAGTTACTACAAAGGAATATAAAGAGAAATGTCTGAATATAAAACAATTTTTTAAATATCAAGTTATCAAAAAGATTACCTGCATCTGTAATAACTTTTTAATAACCACTACACTCTCAGCAACAACAGCTTCTGGAAAAGAGAAAGTTTAATCTTTAAAATTAATTTAATTTTTAGTAATATGCTAAACTAAGGTTTTAAAATGTGACTGTAATCCACTAAAACTTTACTTAATTCTTTCATATATATAATTGAATAGATACATTTCAATCACATTATAATATTTAATAAAGAAATGCACAATTAAATGAATTACTAAAAAAATTCAAGGAAAATAGTCATTTCACACTGCTTTGTATTCAATAATAAGCATGTGAATTGTCAGATTACAAAAAGGAGTGTACTTCAACAATGATTTGCTTGGTTGTATAATTCATTGATGAAGAAAAGTAAACCACTGCATTTCATTTAGTTTAACCAAGGTTATCAGAAAATTAATTTCATGCAATTTGAGACAAAAAATTGCCACTGTAAACTAAATCAGCTCAGTTTAGTTTAAATAAATTATCCTTATTATATAGGTTATAATAGCAGAGCAGATAAAAGAAATATACTTTTTAATCCAATTGACAACAGAGAAAGTAGTGGCCAATTGAAATAGTAGATAGACAATTGGAGTTTTAGCACATGGTTATCTTTTCAGATTAATCTTCATTTATTTAATTTTCAAATATAGATGTGGAAATTGTGTAATTAAAATTTTTTTAATCATTTCACCCCAAGCAAACATGATAAAACCACTAAGATGCAATGGATTACTAGGTGTGAAAGAATACGAGAAAAAACATTAGAGAGAAGAATAAAAGAACAGGATTCAAGGAAACATTGCATTTAAATTTTTGGAGATCAAAGTTAATTTGAAAGCAATAATCTAGAAGTGTGAAAGAAATTGTTAGCATAGAATTTATGGTTACAGCTAGCAATTTCAACCATAAAATGATGAGACCTAGCTGTCAATCTAGTACTGTGTTTAAATTTGTAAAGTCAAGTTATCAAAGAGAAAAGCTCATCAGAACAATTACCATGAAAATATTCAAAGATTCTAGAGTTTATAGCAGTTCAAAAAATATCCATTTTACAGAGAAGATTTCTCCTAAAATTCCCTGATAGTTATTTGAACAAAAAAAAAAAAAACCCTCTTTTCATGATGGATAGAGATTCATGCCATCTAGTAAAATAATTAAAAAAAGTTCTAGAATAACAAATCACCAAGTATTTATCAACTTTCATGGCTAAGTCTCCTAACAAGTCCTATTGAACAAGCTTGGGTTATTTTAGATCATAAGATAAAATGGCCAGAAAACCTTCTTTACATTATTTTCACGTGAACTATTGTCCTCATCTTTGTTATTGTTATAATATTTAAGCTGCTGTTCCTTCATCAAGTGCTTGTCAATACCCATAAGCTTCAGGGAATTTTGAACTGAACCCTTTATTTAATCTACAAGACAGATTGTTCTCATTCTGCTGACTGTGTCTAGGGATATCTTATCTAGTTCTCATTTAGTTGAGTTCAGTTATTGCTTGCCCTGTTTTTACTAAATCCAAGGATTGAACTCACAATTACTAGGTCACCAAATTCACAATCCACTACACTATTTCCTGTGGGGCAATCTTGAATGAAGAACCATGAGCATTAAACCTAATCTGCCATAGATTAAATAAAGAGTTCAGATGGAAAATTCTTTCAAAGTTACCCAGACTGACAAGCATCTGGTGAAGGCTGGAGAGCACAATAGCCAAAACATTGTGATAATAACAACAAAAATGAGAACAATAGCACACATGTAAATTATGGTAACTCCTCATCTAAAAAACTCAGCCAGAAAATCTTCTACAAAAGATTTTTTTTCAGTAGATTTTCAATGCTGGAAAGAATAAACACTTTAAAATCTGTAACTGGTTACTATACTAAATTTTAATTTATCTAACAAAACATTTTTGAATTGTTTGAACTGTTGAAAAAAGATTTTGTTTTCCATTGTATTGGTAACATATAAACATACAAATATAAATTAAGAGACTATTGAGCCCCTATAATAAAATAAATCAGTTGACATTCTATAGAACTACACAAGTTAAATTTACTAACAAATTCTCAATTATGCTTAGTATCAATAATAATATTTGGAGGTAATTTTTAAAGATAGATAAAACAAAACAATGCTAAATTTTTGCATTTGTTCAAAATCAAAATAAAAAAAGCAATATTTCACCAAATAAAGCACACACAAGCCAATAAAATATATCAATGCATGTCATTACTTTTTTAAAGGAGCAACAAATTAAAGCAGTTATGAAATTTTATAATGTCTGCAAGGTCTACATGGTTACTTCTTAGCTTGATTTTGAAACTGTGGAAGGATACCGGTGAAATAATTTGTTCCTTATTGTTTCAATCTTTGTGTAAAACCCAGGGGGTGGGAATAGAAAAATGAATGTTTTACATACTTACCATCTCTGTTTGACATGAGGTGAACCAATCCATTGAGACAAGCATCTGTAATTTCTGCAATGTTGCTTGCACACCTGCCAATTGCTTGAATGGTAGCTGCAGCAAATGCTTTATCTGAGCTGGTCACATAGGTCTGTAATTACAAAAGCAAGAACGATATATTCACAGTTGGTAAATCAATTTATAACATGATTGCTAAAGATTATGAACAGTCAAGTCTTTTCAAAAAAGGAGGTCTCCAATAATTGTGTGAAAATGTCTATGTGATTCAAAATGATACTGAACATGTTATGCTACAAGTCATTGTTAATGAATTCAGTACTTACTGTGTGCCAAAAGTTGGCTTAGTCTGACATCTATTCAAGTTGATCAAATTAAAATTATATTAAAAAGAAATTTTTTCCTCTATTAATAATATATGAAAACAAAGTAAGATATCATGAAGTAGATTTTATAAATTTATATAAAATAATTTCTATTTCTAACTGCATGTCTGGTTAAAGAGAAATTTACCTGGAATTCCCGAAGAATGGTGGATATATTTGTTTCTGTGGCAAGACTTGTAAGAATTTCCAGCTGTAAAATTGATGAAAAGAATAATTTGGAAAAAAATAGAAATTCAAATAAATGATAATCAATTTAGTGCATTTTTAAAATTTCAAAATATTCTGATGAAAATTTTCTAATGGAATCATTTTTAGTTTGGGAATAACAAAATTTATAGTACCAACAAGAACAAAATTTATAGTACCCACAAGTCTAACAGCCATACCTATCTGAAAATTTAAGGAGTATGGTTCTTATCTAAAAAATAAGAAAATAAAATAAAAAACCAAAATTACTCTAACAAGATATACTAATTATATAGTATTCATGAAACAATACTTGGTAAATTCTTGCAGAAATTGTCAAGTATTGAATTTGTGTTTATATTTCTGAGATGAGGTATTGTAACTATTTACATTGTCCGGACTGTTGTCCTCATCTTTATTGTCATATTTGTAGAGGTGGAATCGAACCTAAGACGCCCAGTTACAAGACCGGAATGGTCTTGGCGTCACACCCCCATAGAAGTAGACTCGCCCGCTTACATGAGAGGCGAGAGTGGGCTACTTAAACAAGACATTCACGGCAACGAGAATGGAGGCAGATACACGTCGTCTCGCTGCTACCTTACATGGCGTCGCCGATATAGGAAACCTGCTACAAACAACGTTGGAATATGGACGAACAAACACAGCAGACATTACTTGACAGCTCATCGAAGCTACAGCAAGAGATCATCGCCCTGCGAAGAGACGGAGGACAGCCGAGAAAGTCACTTACAAGGAGACCCGACAGACCTAATATAGAACCGGACTCAAGTGATGGTGACTGGGCGATATTCATTGACTCCTGGAATAGATACAAGGAGATGTGTGGGTTGACGGAGCCAACAGCGTTAAGAAACGAGCTGAGAACGGCCTGTGCCCCAGAAGTGAACAGGCTGTTGTTCGATATGGTAGGAGCAGAAGTACTAAACTCCGTCACGGAGGAAGAGCTATTCACGACACATAAAAGCTCGTAGCCGTCAGAAGCCTACACAAAGAAGTGTACCGGCAAGAATTCCACTCCGTAAGGCAGAAGGAGGGGAATCGATTACGGACTTCGTGGCACGACTTGATCAGTCGCAAAATTCTGCGACTTTTCAGTGACTTGTCCGAGCGGATAGGATGCGGTCGGAAAGTCAGCTACTCAACGATATGGTAGCAGGACAAATGGTGGCTGGGCTGGCAAACCTGGAGCATCAAAGCAAGGTGTTGTCTGAGGCTGCGACACTTACGACACTGGAAAAAAGTTCAACAGGCTTGTCAGCCTAGAGACCACGGACAAGTCTACACCCCATCTCCATAGTAACGTATACCCTACTACAACGAGCACACAGAGATCGGGCCGCAGGGCAGCGGCCTCGGGAGAACCAGACCGTATCAACCCCCGAGAGACACTGAACCCTGTAAATGGTGTGGGAAGAGCTCACACCCTGACGGGCTCGAATGAACGAAGGGGTTGCCCAGCAGCAAAGATGACTTGTCACAATTGCGGCTTAACCGGACATTTAAAAAGGGGTTTGCAGGAAACCGAAGCAGGGGTCCAGCAACAAATCTACAGCGGGTGTGGTCGGAGCAGAATCCAGAACTCTCACCACCCAAAGACACAAGAAGGGTCAGAAACGGATGATCGTCCAAGATGGACAAGTGAAAAGGAGAGGTGAAATCAACCTGACAAAACCAAAGGCCGTGCCGCACCTGGTTTGGAACAAAAGTAAGTTCGAAGAGGTACTCCTGATCCAGCACCAACCCTGATGGTAGAGATAACTCTGATTCCAGAGGCCCATGCGAATTCGGGCACATATCCATAGGACAAGCTGGCCTCCATACTCACGGATCGAGGCGATCGCAGACACTGGGGCACAGACATGCTCTAGCGGACCAGAAATCCAAAAAATTCTGAAGTGTCCAGACAAATGTCTAGTACCGACTAGTCACCCGAATTCGGGAATCACGGATAACCTACTAAACATAAAAAGGCGTGATATTAAGCTAAAGTCAGAGTAGGATCGCTGGAAACACGTCAGATTATATATGTATCAAAAAATACATCAGATTTCTGCCTGTCCGAGTCGGCCCTAAAAGACCTTGGTCTGGTGCCAGATAACTTTCCAGACCCAACTTCCCAGCAGAACGTGGCAACTAGCGACGGCGGAAAGGCACCATGTGGGTGCCCACAAAAGAACTAATGTCCCACCTAAGCCGGACAGGATCCCTTTCGCTCCTATGGAAGAAAACAGACCCCGATTGGAGCGATGGATGAAGGAGCATTTTGAGTCCAGTGCATTCAATGTATGCCCACATCAACGGCTGCAGGCGATGGAAGGAAAACCCATGGACATCACGTTCATCCAGGGGCCAAACCCTCAGCTGTCCACACCCCAATCCCGGTCCCACACCATTGGAAGAAAAAAGTCAAGGAGGACCTCGACCCGAGACGTGGCATTGGGCATCATAGAACCTGTACCAGTGGGTACACCTACAACATGGTGCTCCAGAATGGTGGTTGCACCCGAAAAGGACGGGTCACCGAGGCGTCACGGTGGACCTACAGAAGCTCAACACCGCTACCCTACGAGAAACCCATCATACACCGTCTCCTTTCAATCAGGCATCGCTGGTGCCTGCGAAAACTAGAAAAACCGTTTTGGATGCATGGAATGGCTATCATAGCCTAACCCTCTCTCCATCGGCAAGAGATGCAACTACCTTCATCACGGAATGGGGTAGATACCGTTATCTTCGGGCACCACAAAGATTCCAAGCGTCAGGAGACGATATACACGCAGGTTCGACAATATTACTGTAGATATGCCCAGGAAAACAAGATGTATTGACGATACGATACTATGGGACAACTCTATTGAATCATCATTTTGGCATACTATAGAGTACATAAATAACTGCAGCAAAAATGGTATCGTATTCAACCCCCAGAAATTTCACTTCATGAAAAAAGAGGTGGAATTTGCGGTTCTTGATAACAGAAGACGGATAAAACCCACCAAAAAATGACTGAAACAATACGGAATTTCCCGACACCAAAAATATAACTGACATAAGATCCTGGTTTGGAATGGTAAACCAGGTAGCCTACGCTTTTTCTCAGGCGAGGTAATGGCCCGTTCCGGGAGCTGCTAAAGACAAAAATCGGAAGTTCTACTGGGACAGCACACTCGATCGAATCTTGAAGAGTCGAAAAGAAGGATCACAGAAGAAATCGAGAACGGTGTAAGAACCTTCAAGTGAATAGGCCAACTTGTTTGTCGACGGACTTCAGCAAAACAGGCTTAGGATATTTTCTTTTCCAGAAGCACTGCAACTGTGCCACGAAGCTGGACCGAAGTGTGGTGAGGACCACTGGAAGTTAATCCTGGCGGCTCCCCGATTCACTAATGACGCAGAGTCCCGATATGCACCAGTGGAAGGAGAAGCATTGGCATTAGTCTACGGACTGGAAGCATGCGGATGTTCGTTTTGGGGTGCCCAGAGCTGTTAGTCACCGTGGACCATAAGCCCCTGGTGAAGATCTTCTCGGACAAAGCTCTGGAGGACATAAAGAACCCAAGACTGTTTAACTTCAAAGAACGGTCCTTGATGTACAAATTTCGAATAAAACATCTCCCTGGCAAACTCAATGCGGCACCAGACTGTACATCGAGATGCCCAGTGGCGTTAAGCCAGGAGGAAGCAAACGAAGAGGACACCGCTGGAAACTATGGATAGCGCCATAAGGCGTCATTTAACTCCACCTATGAGCAGGACCCTAAATTAAGAGCAATAACATGGGACAGGATTGTGGCTGCAGCTGCTACTGACGAGGAATGCCGTTCCTCGCCGAATTCATACAAAATGGCTTCCCTAAATCTCGGCACGAACTGCGGAGACAATTCGCCGGTTTTGGCATATGAAAGAGGAGTTATATTGCTTGGAAGGGGTGACGATAATGGAAAATAAAATCCTCATACCCAGAAAGCTACGTGCGGAGGTACTGAATCACTCCATTCAGCGCATCAGGGCGTCAATGGAATGTTGGCAAACGCTAGACAGCGGCTGTTTTGGCCAGGACTGGACGCGAGCATTAAATCAAACCGGGCCCAGTGCAAAGTATGCAACGTAATAGCTCCATCACAACCCAAGGAACCCCTAATGCCGCCCTCGAACCCCCGAGTTCCCATTTCAGAAGACTGTGACGGACTTCTTCGATTTACGAGGGAAGAACTATCTAGTATATGCAGATAGATACACGGATGGGTAGAAGTCACTCTGATGTCGTCCGGGAATGCCAAGGCTACATGTGACGCCCTACTGAAACTGGTTCTGCACGTATGGCGTGCGGAGGAACTTTCAACCGATGGCGGACCACCGTTTGACTCCAGTGAATTTAACGGTTCCTAGATAATTGGGGCATAAGAAACGAACATCATCGGCATATTACCCTCAAAGCAACGGAGAGCAGAACTAGCAGTTAAAACGGCTAAAAGGATACTTGTTGATAGCACGGACAGTTGCGGTCGCCTATGCCATGACCAGGCAGCTAGGTCCCTACTGACTCATCGCCCAACACCCGATGCAGAGACCTACATATGTCTCCAGCGATGATGCTCTCTACGTGTGATAAAGGACCATCTCCCAGTGCTCCAGGACCCGATGTCGAATCCACAAACGCTGGAGAGAAATCAGTCATTATAGGGAAACAGCGATGGCAAAAAAGACACTTAAGGAATGAAAGAGAATACAATCTAAAAAGTCACCCACTTCAGGAACTGAAAATCGGGAAACGGTGCAGATACAGAACCAAGTTGGTCCATACCAGCGCCGATGGGCAAAGACAGGAAGGGTGGTGGAAACACTGGGTAACCGGCAGTATAATGTGCGCATGGATGGGAGTAACGGGTAACCCGTCGCAATCGCAGATTCCTCCGAAAAATAAACCCAGTAGTAGATACTCCTTGCCACTCGATACCTCAGGTGCCCCAGGAATGTTGGATACCATAGACAACCCAACAGGGCCCGAAATACCGGAGAATGGTCCACCACTGATATGGATCAAAACCAGCCGAAACATTCGACACTCTACCAGAACCGATGGAGGTAGATGACACAGCATCCCCTGGAATGATGGAGGTTGAGGAAGACCAACCGGTCGTCGTAGCAGAAGGGTGACGCGACCACCCAGGAACCTATCCCCACAGACGTGGGGCACGTCGCACGACTACTCCAGAGCCTCAAAACATTGGACCACAACGCGAGTATCTTGTGGCCCCGGAAGGGAGGGGGCGTGTAGAGGTGGAATCGAACCTAAGACGCCCAGTTACAAGACCGGAATGGTCTTGGCGTCACACCCCATAAAGTAGACTAAGCCCGCTTACATGAGAGGCGAGAGTGGGCTACTTAAACAAGACATTCACGGCAACGAGAATGGAGGCAGATACACGTCGTCTCGCTGCTACCTTACAATATTCACAACATTTCGGCCTTCTTCAGGTGATATACATTGTTAATCTAAACTTGTAATATTACTTTGTATGCTAAAAATATATTTAAATATAAAAGGATATTTTTAAGGAATAAACATAATTTGGTGCCCAATCAAAGAAATGCCATTCAGTAAGATTGAACTTGACATACAACTACACAACATCCAGCCTAACCACTCCATCCTAAAATTGATATAAGATTTATAAAGAACTTTTGTCATTGAATAACATGTAGGAAGAGTCACTTACCTTCAACAACTTGACATGAGTGGGATCATTCGATCGCACATAGAAACTTTTCAAATATGGTTCAAACATACCCTACAAGAGGAAAGAAATCATTATTCAATATGCCTGAAGAGTGAATAGATTTTGTGAAAAGAGAGGAATAGAGAAAGAAAGCAATAAAGAAACAAATTGGTTTACCTTTCTATGGATGGTCATGGTGGCAATATTGCTCAGAACTACATATTGCACTTCCCTGAAAAAGAAAACGAAAAAGAAATCAGCTTGGATTCTTCATATTTAAATAGAAAACAAAACATACATTGAAAACACTAGTAAATGTATTTGAAAGGAAACACAATATAACTATTTGTTGTCTTCAATATCCATGAGGGTCAACTAGCAGTTTACAAAACTGCTAACTAGTTTACAAAATATTTAAATTATAACATTTTATATGCTGAGTTTGAGATGCGCATAAAGAAAATCAATGTATATTTTTTTTAATTGAATTCACCCAAAAAAGGCAGTAAAGCCACTAAAAGATTAAAACATTACTAAGGAGTGAGAACAATAGAAGAGTAATCAGAAGGACAGTAGATAATGATTGACATTGCATTTAAGTTTTTGAAGATTAAAGTTGACTGGAAAGCATGGAGATAGAAGATAGTCCCACAAGTGGGAAGTGTAAGAAAAGAAACTGTTGGCATAGAAATTAATGAAACTTCATTGCCAGTCTAGTACTGCACTTAAATTCATAAAGTCTAGGTACAATAGCAAAGAACTCATCTAACAATTACCATGACAGTATTTATAGAAAAATCACAGGGAAGCAACAGTGATGGGAAAGTGACTGAAATTGAGGCACCAAGTTAAGACCAATAATATTACTGATTCTTCCATCAATTTTATCAAAAATCTCAAAATATATACCGAGAGCACTGGACCCTATGTGGTAGAATATTCTAAGCATGGATGGATGTTAGACTTATAGATATGAAAGATAGACTATAGAGAGAAAAATCGTCAAGCATAACACAGTAAACCAACATTCTTAGCAGCTGACCTAGCAATAAATTCAATTTTTTTTTTTTAACATACGTGTATTAGCACGTGCGATACCCTGTCTTCATCAGCCGCTGACCATGGGTGATATCATTGTTTTGATGGCTATGGCGGGACCACCACCCCTGACGCCACCAGCAGCGTTTGCCACCAGGTAGGGTACGAAGATAAGCTAATTAATCGTTCCTTTAAGTAAAATCTATCTGCAATGAAAGTTTCTTGAACGCGTTTGCCATTATTGACATGCTTGTAAAAATCATTATAGATGACCATGCAAATATCTCACTTGCGCATATTAGGTTGTGATGTTGTGCGCATTTTATTTTATATAGTATTTCCACTTCATGTCAGCCAAAAATGTTAGCCTGAGGTGTAAAAATTTCACTCTCCTGGAGGTTAGCATTAGCTATGCTAATGGAAGGCATAAAGGAGTCTCTCAGAGGATTAATAGAGAGCACCCATTATTTTAATTTTTAAAAATGTATGATACTGTAAAAAAGTGCAAGTTTTATAAAATTTTTATATCAAATTATCAATGTTTCATTCATTTGTAAATTAGAATGATTCAGAGAAACCAACTATGTTGAATTGATGATTGAATATTATTTGAGTCTGACAGCAAAATATACATATGTCGCAATGACTGATACAGTAAAAAATTTTCTATAAAATTATATATATTGATATTTTATATAAATCCAGCATTCTGGATGTGCAGGTAGGGTAATGGATAATGGTCAGGAATGAGAAACCAAAGACCCAAATTCAAATTCCAGTCAAGTTCGTTAAATTCACTTACATACAAATACCCTTTAAAAAAGTTATGAATCCATCTCTTCTCCTCCCAGCTATGGATTAAATAGCAGGGCAGACTGGATTCCCTAGCAGTGGTTAGCATTCAGTCTAGGAAAAGGACAACTCTGAATTCAAAACCATACATAGCCCTGATGCTGCAACAGAGATACCTTAAGCAAGATCTTTATTAGGTTACAGCCAAAGTGCTTAATCAAAAAAACAACTCCTTAAACAAGAGTTGTGTAAGGATCTATGTAATGGATTATGCAAGTATTACATTTTTTAAATAGAGACCAAATGTATTCAAAATCAATACAGATAACTTAAGCCAGATTTCTTTTAGGTTTTAATGAAAGTGCTTCATCAAAAACTCATTGAACAAAATTTGTGCAAGGTTCTATGTAATTGATTATGCAACTATTATGTTGCATTTGTATTGCATTTATATAAATGATGGCTTGATTAAGATGGAAACATAAGTTATACTGGCATTCATATGATGTGAAAGCATTACTTTGTTTATATGCAGTTAATTTAAGTAACAATTTTCAACTATTGTTTTATCATTAGCATAATCAAGGAGTCTGTTGGTTATTAAAATGAAATACATTGATTTAAACAAGTATCTACACCTTTTTTTTCAGCAAAGGTCTTACAGTCTCAAATATATTATAAGGCATATATTTGTATGCATATATAAATACCAATCATGAACTTGTGCTTGTTAAATGTCTTGTGACGGACTGATTTGCTTTTTACAGTTTATCAACCTTTTGCAGGTTATTTAAAGCCAGAAAATATATTTAGATTGTAATAATTTTTTGGAGACAATAATGATTTTTATTGATACAATTTCTACTAATTAACTTATAGCTGAGTGGAGAAGAGGTGGATTCATACCTTTCCCAAGGGTATTTGCACATAAGTGAATATAACAAACTTGACTAGAATTGGAACTCAGCTCTCCAATTTCTAAAACTGAGCTGTTATCCATTCATTAAACCACCCATACATCCAAGCTTACAGCACCTAGTATTCCTAAGCTGTCACCCATCTAGGTACTGACCAGGCTTTACATTGCTTAACTTTAGTGATCATACAAGGACTGGTGTTTCAATGTTATATGGCCTTAGGTCAAATGTCTTGTAATACGATGGATTAATTAACAAGTTAGTCTCACAAACCATTATTATTGTAATGAGATATTTACTGTATGAACAACACTTATGGCCTTAGACAAAGCTAAACTTAGTAAATACACACACAGCTGAGTATGAAGCCATAAAAAGAACATTTAACTTACTTATGACTACGCAGGAGCCTAATCAACGCCTTGCCGACAGTTCCTACTTCTGCCTTTGGGGCACAGTGAAAATACAGCTGGGCAACTGACATCACAACCTGAGGAAAGATGATAAAATATTTTTAATGGGTAATAATCATGGCATCTCATTTTCTAAAAGGATCAGGAATACATTTCAACAGATGACTAACAGATAACACAGACCATTTTTAGCATGCTACAGTGACATGACTGCAACTCTTGGCAAGAATCACATTTGCTAAAAAGCTTGAGACCTGAAATTTATAATGAAGTTATAAAATATTAGTATGTTTTAAAAGTAATTACATTTTACCAGAAAGGATATATAAACAAATCTAAGCTAAATTTATTTAAACATTATTTATCAAAAATTTAAATTGGCTTCATTTTTAACAACTGAAACCCAATGAGAGCAAAATTGTTCAATCCCCTCCTCCAAAGAAAATACAAAACGTTTGAAAAATTGCTTTTAACTTTTTTGTTTCTGAATGTTCTGTCACTTACAAAATGTTCTAGTGATCAAACAAATCAAAATCTATAGGTACTACATCTGGGGAGTATGGAGGATGGAAAATAACTTCTTATCCTAACACTCTTATTCTTTTTTTTGTAAAGTGCACCCTTGCATTGTCATACTGGAGAATAACTCTTTTTTTTTTGTTTACCAAAGCAAAACACTTTCAATGTAATGCTTCATTCATGTGATCAGGTTGCTGCAATAAATGTCTGCAGTGACGATTCGTCGATATTCCAGCAGCTCATAATAGACAACACATTTCATATTCTGCTAGTTACAAAGCAAGGTCTTCTGTGTATGGAGTCCTGGTTTTGGTGCTGGCATTGGTTTCTCATTGTCTTTTTCATTTTCCATTGACATACAAAACTCATTTTTCATCACCTGTAATAATGTGATGTAAAAATGAAAGGTTGGCATTCTTGGTTAAAAGACAGCTGCAAATGATAGAACACTGTTTGGTTCTTAAATGAAAGCTAATGAGGAACCTAAATTTTTTCCTTGGAAGTTTTCCCCAAACTCTAAAATACACCATAAACAATAAACTGTCAAGATAAGAGAGATGATAAACTAATTTTAGATGCAGTTTCTTACCATTCAGCCATAATTGTCCTGGTTACTTGGTTGATTTCATAGTGGTGAAATATATAATTACCTTCTGAAAACTCTAATATAAATTCTCCAGTACCATACTTTACTGTTTTTGCATCAATAATAGGAATACAGAATCAAATATTGACTTCATGGTCCAATGTTCCCATGATAAAATATAATGATCACTAAGATATATGAACAATTAAATCTTATATATAAAGTACAGTGTGTGTGTGTGTGTCTCCCCAAGCAACTCCTCCACTCACACTGGTCCAATTTCAATGATTCATAGCTCATTCAAAAGCCCTAGAAAAGTTAGGTGCAGGGAATGATTTTCATTATATATTAATATATTATACTAGTTGTTATCGTTTCTTTCATTGTTCAAGGGGAGTAACTCTTATTTTACTTTTGTATCCAAAAATTGCAGTGCATGTTTTATTATAAACTACCTTAAAAGCCACCCTATTGGGTAGCATTTAAGCTAGCTCCTGTGGAGGACTCTTGGTTTGGCCATCATCACAAAAGCTAGGGAGTAGATGCAATAGGCATCAATAAACTACAGTAAATAATATATTTCGTATATCATTATAAATTTGGCTATCTTTCCTATTCAAATAGTCCTCTTGGAAATGTACAGTGATTCCAGTACATCTTCCACACTTCAATAACACAATGAAAATCCTTTGAACACTAGTCATCTTGAACCAACAATTGACCAGCCTTGAAAGATACATGCCACTTAAAAAAAAAATTGTGTTTGACCTAAAGAATTTTCACCAAAAGTCTGAAGAAGCATTTTGAGGATCGCAGTAGCAGATTTGCCAAGTTTCATGCAAAATCTGATGCAGACATCTTGCTTGAATTTGTCAGTCATTGTAAAGATTGCAGAACCATTCCAACAATGTATTATGAAACCTTGTGTAATAGTTAAACATGAATAGATAGCATAAAACAGACTGCTTCAGTCAGCTGGGTATAAATGAACATTACTAGTGTGTGCATTTCTATTAAACAGTACAATCACAGCATGTACATCTCAGGAACTTACCAATGCCATCTTATACATATACCTCTAAATATGTTATGAAAAGTATCTTTGTTAATGTGGACATATAGAAAGTTTATATATTTTATAAATAATGGTTATAGTAGATGAGAGTATCAATTTAACTTATACATGTTCTCTAGTCTGCTCACTTTATCAATAGTAATATTGATTCATAGATGACTAGAAGGGAAGCAAAATAAATAGAGCAATTAGAGAAATAGAGATTTACTGTGCAAGAAAACTCTTGAAAAGTTCTCTTAGCTTTTGCTATTATAATGTTGTAACAGCACTTTTTTAACTATAAGAAAAAAATGCAGATAGCCTAAATTTCAAAATTGATAAGCTCCAAAGTTCTGTTTGCTTCTACAGACATTTTAGTATTTATCATTCTTGACTTGCTAAGATATTGGAAGAAGACCAAATTGCTCACAGCTGCATTGCGACTGTTTAATAAAGGTTTGGTTTGTCTCAGTAAAAGCCTGTGGTCTGAATCCATCACATAAACTTTTTTCACTGGGGTGTCGTCCTTCTCCTCCTCCTCTTCCTCTTCTTTGTCAGACTCATCATAAAAATGTTGGTCAGATTCTTCACATGCCTCCTGAAACATATAAACCCCAAATATAAAAAAACACAATTCAAAATAATCAAGCAAAGACAACATTTGTCTACATTTCTGAGTTTAGGTATTGTGACTATTTACACTATTTACATGGTTTGGACTGTTGTCCTCATCTTTATTGTCATATTCACAGCATTTTGGCCATTGTATGCTTAGGCCTTCTTCAGGTGATATACAATGGAATTTCAAACTGAACCCGAGGCCACAAAAATCTAAGCATGCCAATCACAGACATGAATACAATATGAGAACCAGCAGAGAAAAGCAACAATAACAACCAATTGCAATATGAGCTCTGGTAAAAAATGTGGCCTTGGACTTCCCTCATGCTCAGGCGGGTGAACTAAGATGGAAGATGAGACCTTGGAGAAGGCCAAGCTACCCAGGTCAAACATCATAAAACTGGAGAGGCTGGCGATCGGATCCCTACAGAGGAACAAAAACATCATCATACTACCGGCTGACAAAGGCAATGCAACTGTAGTGATGGACAAATCAGATTATACAAGAAAGCTGGAAGACCTCATTAGCAATTGTAGCTACAGCAAAATAAAAAAGTATCCTACAATAAAAATGGAACACAAACTGTCACAGATACTAATCAAGAACAAGGATCACTTCGCAGCTAAGACATATAGGCAGTTATCACAGCGTTACACCAAGCTACCTCATATACGGTCTCCCTAAGATTCACAAAGACGGTATTCTGCTCAGGCTGATTGTTAGTTGCCAAGGCTCTGTGTGCTACTCTCCGAGTCGCTTCCTTGTAGACATAATTGACCCATTGATCGGAAAGTCTCCTTCATATATGCGAAACTCTGCCCACTTTGTGGAAATAATCAAAAATGCTCCCATCAATCCAACCAGATGGTGAGCTTGGACATGGTGAGTTTGTTCACCAAGGTACCCATAGAGGAGGCACTCTCAGTATTCAGACGCAGATTGGCCTCTGACTCATCCCGAGAAGAACGGATCAGTATTCCAATAGATAGTCAATGGAGATGTTGACTTTCTGTACACAAACAATATACTTCGAAATGGGATCACACATATCGACAGGACGAGGGCTTAGCAATGGGCTCACCATTATCACCAGCAATGGCGAATATATACATGGAATACTTTGAGGAAATGGCATTAGAATCTATATCTCTAAAGCCAACTATATGGTTAAGTACGTAGATAACACCTTCATACTCTGGCCACACCAGGAAGATGTTCAGGTTCTACTGGACCATGTGAACTCAATGAGACCTTCAATACGTTTCACAATAGAGAAAGAGAGTAACAACACACTCGCATTCCTGGATGTTCTAATATCTCAAACAGAGTATGGGTTCAAGACATTTGTATACCGTAAACCGACATTCACCAAACAGTACCTCAATTTCAACTCCCACCATCCATACAGTGTAAAGAAAGGAATCATCCGCTACTTACAACACCAAGCAAAAGTCATAAGTGACAACCCAGAGACATTAGATAAAGAACTGGACAGTATAAGTAGTACCCTACAACGTAGCAACTACCCTGGGTACATAGTAGCAGCCCCAAAAAACTGGGATAGGCAGATACAAGAGGAGGACAACAACACTCAGAAAACAGTCTGCCTGCTTTATATGAAGGGGTTATCAGAGAAAATACAAAGGATCTGTGGTCCATATAACATCAGGACAGCCTTCAAAAGCTGGACGACACTTCGTAGGTATCTCTCCCAAATAAGACCCCCCCCCAAACAGGAGAACATGACTAAAGACTGTGTGTATGCTATCCCTTGCAGCTGCAGAAAGAAATATAAAGGGGAGACAGGCTGCCTCCTTAAGATATAGCTTCAAGAACATCAGAAAGCTGTAACCCAAAGGAAAGTGGAAAAATCAGGTGTGGCTGACCACATATGGAGAGAAAAGGGAGATCACCACCCTCTGTTGGATCAGGTTGAGATCATAGACAAAGAACATCATTGGAAAATTCATAAACTTAAGGAATCAGCACATATGCTAGGCCACAAAAATCTCCTGAGCCGACCTAGCATAGAAATGAATACAATATGGGAACCAGTAACAAGAAGTGCCAGCGAAAAGCGATAATAACAACAAAAATTGCAATACCAGTTCTGTTAAAAACAAGCAATGATAACAGCAAAAATTGCAATATGAGCACTGGTAAAAAACGGTTGTGGAAGACATTAGGTTTATAATACCCAGAAATTCATACACATTCATTAGAAGACACATGGTACAGTGGATAAAGGCGTTAGTTAGATCCAGTGACAAGACCCAAAGTGTGTGAGTTCAATACCTGGTTAAGTTGGAGAGGGGAATTAACAGGTGACAACTGACATCCATTAGTCATGGCACATGGAACAGTCTACCTCAATGAGCGAAATAAAGGGTTCAGTTTAATATTCCAACCACCTGAAGAAGCATAATAAATATGGTGACAAAGACGAGGACAATAGTCTGAATAATGTAAATTCAGTACATAATACCTTATCTCAGAAATATTGACAGATAATGAATTTAATTTCAATAGAATTTGTCACATGTACCATGTTAGTGATGAATTTTTAAGTTAAAGAAAAGATGTAATTTGAAACAATGAAACAGTTTCAGATATATTGATATATGTAGATTCATAAAATTACTTGGATATACTTACTGCTTGATTAGGATTGACAAACTGTGTCCGACAATATCGTGTAAGCATGTTGATGATGACAACCTGCCCCCATTCCTCAACATCAACTAACAGGTTACACAGCTTGCGGTAATTCTTATGAATTAGATCAATACGTTCTGGGCAGACCTCTTCAAAAGCTTGAATAGCACTGCCTGCCACAAGCTGTGAAAAAACAGAGATAAAGTACAACACAGTAAAAGAACAAGTCTTTAGTAAATTAGCTCTAAATTAATGGTTATAAAATTTAAATTAAAATATATACCTTAATTTTATATTATCTTCCAGCTACATTGCTCATTTATATTAATTCAAATGTTTGGATTTTAAAATTAATCAGTTTAACTAATTTGTTGAATAAAAATTATATAAATAAATTGTGTATCTGTCAATGAAATACTAAACTGAAGGGATTCAATCTTGAAATACTGGTACAGCTAAACATATAAGCATTTGTTATTTTCTCTTCTGCCTTTCTTATTTATTAAAACACTGAATCAGTATCAACATTTATTATAACATTATTTCAAAGTTTAACACGCCCCACAAAAAAAACAAAAAGGGAGTATATAGTAATAGTGTTGTCAAGAGAAAAAAAACATCCTTTTGATAAACTTTCTTTTTTTGTGGGTACAAATGTTAAACTTTGCCATTACTTCATTATTGTTAAGAAACTGTAGTATTTTTTACTACCACAGATTGAGAAGTCAGAATCACATTCTGTTATTTTCACTAACGATTTTAAAATTGTTCAAATCTAATATGCTGTAGTAAATTGACTGGAAAATGTTTCAAGTGAAATAGAAATAAGTCAGTGGAAAAAAAATGACAAGAGCAAAGAAATGGCAATCTACTTACAGTAGTTTTATCTGCTAAGAGTTTCTCTATGACTTCAATAAGTTGATCTTTTTGTTCAGGATCCAAGCTATTGAGTAAAAAAAAATATTGAGGATGTTTGTTATTCATAAGAATAGGATAATCTGTCATAGAAAATAAAGAAGAAAGATACAACAGAATTTGACAAACAATAAGTAAACTGTCAGAAATTCTGTTTCTTTGATTTTCTCATAAGTATTTTCAGTAAAAATCCTATCATCTTTATGGTTATTATATTTAAACTAATTGAAATATCTGCTTGACTGGATATTACAGAAATCCATTTTGTTGTTTCAATGGCTTAATGTTAGATTTTGTACTGTTTCAAAAATGTAATTGTGAAAGTTTCATGATTTATCAAGGTTTTTCAATATGAAGTTAGCAATTTATTTCAACAAAATAAAACTTATTCAGTCCAAATATACTTTCCCATCAAAATTTATTCCACCATACTAGCAAGATGCAGATATCTTTTCTAAAGTACACTTTATTCAATTGAATAAATTGGTAATTGCACATTGAAAAACCTTCATAAATCATGATGAAACTTTCACCATTAAATTTTTGGAACAGTGGATTTCTATAATATTTTATTTATTTTTCTCACACATCCTGGCCATTATTTTTTTTTTTTTTTTTACAGCAAAGAAGTATTCTAATCAGGGTCAATTTTTAGAAGTCATCAGTGAATTATTAGAATACTTCTTTCCTATAAAAATAATGGTCAAGATACTTGAGAAAAATAAAAAAGATAATTCAAACAGAAGTTCAGGTGAATAAGCAGTGCGTAATATAGTTTTTGTCTTCTACTGATCCAATTTTACTAATGTCATTTTTGTAATATGAATGGTGGTGATGTTCATAAATAAGAAGCAGGAGTTACATTCCCTAACTTGTGAGGTTATAGTTAAAGAAGAGAAGTAAAATTCCTATAATACATTAGAAAAACAGTTCTCACATGAAAATACAGTTTCTCTCTCTCTCTCTCTCTCCTGACTGTTAGACTAGAAAGATATGTTTTCTAAAATGAGCTCAAAAGAAAGATGTTTTTTCATACAGATAAGCCTAAAACCATTTCTTTCTTTGCATTAATACCTAAAAATCTCTTTCTCACTATTTTTTATTTATTTATTCAAAAAGTATAACATAAGCATGTTATAACATCACTACAAAAATAGCCATTTTGTTTCAACACTTCAGGTGTCTTATCAAGTGATGGTGTTGATTGCAAAATAAAGAGTTTTTTTGAAAATTCAAATCCAAATCAAACCCCCTCAATAGGGGAAACATTGTTATGTAACCTATGACAACTAATCAGAATACAAGTATATGAAAATTCAAAAAACATGACTATATTCTAAATACAAATGATTAGTGTATTAAACTTAATGTGAGATTAAACTAGAAGTCAATATGAAATAACTAAGTTCTAATTTCACAGTAAAATTAATGATTAAAAATTACAAATTTCAAAGTAACTGAGCATTAGATTTAAAATATTATAAAGTTATTCAAAAATGGAATGGAGGAAAAAAATACACACACAAATATATATATATATATTTATATATATAATTACTGTTCTTAGCTAAGTATCAATTTATCTGGTAAATTCGAGATTGATGTAAGGAGTATCAATAAACGCTACAAAAATTAGACACAAGGAAGTTAGATTATACAAATTCATCTCTTATTAAACAGACACATAAATATAACTAAACATATATGCATGCAAATATAAGAACAACACAGGAAATAGAAAATGAAAACAAAAAAAAGAAAAGGAAAATATTCAAAAAAGGAAAAATAAAAATAAAGGATAAAAAGAAAAAGAATAAGAACAAACAAACAAAAACACAAAAGAAAATTATATCAGAAACAAGCATATACAAGCAAAACCTAATACAAGCAAACACACACCAATACCCATATACAAATAAACACGCTCACCAAGATTCAAGCACAAATACAATAATAAAATGATACAAACCATCAAGATATTACACACACATGAACATATAGATAAAAAGGGGAGGGGGTAACCAAATAAAGGTAATAAGGGCAAGAAAATAGCATATATACAATGCATACATATAAGTAGTTGAAATAAACATGAAGTTATAAACAAAATAAATAAAGTAAAGAGAAGATATGTATACACCCACACATATGTATACATATATAAAATCCTGAATAACTAAATCTGCAAAAACATACACATACAAAAAAGCAGCTATATAAAATAAAAACACACAAATATATGCATAAATACATATAAATATACACATAAACACACACACAACCATAAAGATATATATAAAAAATATAAATACACGAATATAAACACAAACATACATATAGACATAAATAAGCTAACACATAGACACATATGCATAAATACATGCACCTAATAAATAGCCATAATTGTGTCACTAATTTCAATGTGGACTCATTCACTGTTTTTAGAAAGTCCCACTCAAATTACCACTTAAAAGTGTTGGAGGCCATTTATATTTTATCTTTGAAGCCCTCTCTGTGTAAACAGAAGGATTTCATACTGGACCTCCAACTAATTTCCATCTAAACAATATTCCTCCCACCCAATACATATTGTCCATATCTTTTTTGTGATAAATCTATTAACATTGATTTAGCTCTGTTGAGCAAGGCTCAAAACCGGTTAGCTAGCCAGTTTTTCAGTTTTACTTTATTCCATTGTCATACATAATATATTTCTACCTAGATTGCAAGGTAAATGTTGAACTATGTCTGTAGTTAACAGTGAGTTCATTCCTTTCATTTATGAGGTTAATCTTGTCTTTAAATTTAATGCTTTCCGGTTTTTCATTGGGACAAAGATAACAGGGTGCATAAAGAGAATTACAGGTTCGAGCTCTTCTAATCAATTTCCATTTAACAGTAGGAGTTTTGTTTTTCTCTTGTAAACTCCAAAAGTAATTCGACAACGAAGTACTGTATTTATAAAAACTATTTTTTAAGGAAAATACACGTTGATACCAGCAGATTTTAAACATTTTTTTAGTACTATCAATGTAAAACTTCAAATAGTGTTTATGGTTATTGGAATTTTATTCCATCTATAGCAACCCTATATATATATATATATATATATATATATATATATATATATAAAAATCAGTTTATCTGATGATCGCAAATACTGTAAAACCCAGGGTAACAAGCTCACATCAATCCAACTAAATATGTTAGCTCTGTCACTGATATTGAGCACTTTTTAATAAGTACTGTGCATATATATATATATATATACATACATACATACACCTTTTACATATATAATGTGTGTGTGTGTGTGTATGTGTGTGTGAAGATTCTGTGAATAATATTACACGAATCAATTATGTAAGCAATTGTAGGTTTTAAGAAAAAAAATTAATCATTTAATAAATATATCTTGTTGTATGCACAACAAAAACTGTTCATATTTTATTTCATGTAATATTGCACATGAATATTAATTTTACATGTTGTGGACATAAACCCAGATAAAAATAACAAAACCAAGAATAAGGCCCCATATCATTCTGTTATGCCATAGTACCTATTCTATTGTAATGGACTCTCCCATAGATAATAAGTAGGAGTAGCAGTGGCAAATCTGGCAGAATGGTGTTGAGCGCGTCAGTCGAGATTCGGACATTTGACCATCACAACTAGATTGCTGCGCCATTGACTCTTATTTTCCAAGCTCCTAACATTTTGTACATCGGACCTAATTTAGGATGACTTATTAGAAATAAAAGCCTCCACTGTGAAAATACTCCACAACACATTCACACTCCCACAACAATATCATACAACAAAGAATTGGACATTGTTTTAGTTTCAAATGTACTATTAATCGTTTTGCCACTTTCAAAGTAGCTATATCAAACTACTAATGTTCTATCAAACATTCACCCTAATTTCCTAGAAATAGTATGGTTTTAATTTAAGTTCCAGCTTCTGATCTGCATTCAACAAGTGTTCATTTTCCATTACAAAAGATGAAACAATACAAGAACAAATCAGTTTCAAACCATTGAATATAATTAATGCAGATTTTCATACATTTGATTTGTGTGTTTCTCATCCAATTTAAATGAAACTCATTAGTCAACTATTTTTTGCACTCTAAATCCAGGGCCTTCTCACTTCTGTTGGAGGAACCCGTTCCTGATTGACTATGTCTTCAGGGGTGTAGCCGTACTAACTATGCTTAGCCAATTGTGGGTGGGTGAAGCTATTTAGTTCATAGTTGGAGGTTTTGTAGTCACTGGTTGCCACCCAAGGTGATAAGACCCAATCTGACCTATTTACCCACAGAAAGAGGGAAAAGAGATGGATTCTTTTCCCCAAGGTTATTAGAATGTAACAAACTTGGCTCTCCAATTTCTCAATCTGAACCACTATCCTTTATACCACCATGCCTCCTTTTTTGCACAAATTGAGCTTAAATAATTTTGAATATTTTTGACACACAGATATTTGAGACCCCCCCCCTCCAGTGTTTTCAAATACTTCTCATTTTGACCTTTCTCTAAACTATCTTCAACAACACATTTTTCAAACAAAAATCTTACTTTTCATTCACTAATAGAATTGTTCTCAGCAGTGGAATTTATATTCTTTAAAGCTTCATCTTAGATAAATATAAAATTTTCCAACTTATAAAATCAGCAATTGCATTTTCAACAATCTAAAATATTTACAACATAATATCAACTTTGAAACATTTTTGAAAATAAACAACAAACTGAAAATGTATTTTCACAATGATAAGATTCATAACATATTAGGATTATGGAGCACCATATGCACTGCAGCCACAGCAGCAGTGGTATTTACTGGGCAAGACAGTCTGATAGAGCCCAACTATCTCCAAGCTGGTGTGAATTCAGTTTTTCTTCCCTTGGACTGGTTGTCAACCAAGGCTATAGGACCCAGACTGTCCTGCCATTTACTCATAGCTGGGGAGGAAGAGATGGATTCATATGTTTCCCAAGGGTATTAGCATGTAAGTGAATGTATTGAACAAGACTGGAATTTGAACTTGGCTCTCCAGTTCCTCAATCTGAGCCAGTATCTATTATCCCTCCATGTAAAATGTATTTTACAATCTGTTTAAAATAAAACTGTTAAATGTTGAGTATTTATAATAAAAAAAATCAAGTCAAAAACAAAACTTAATAATTCTGCACAAATTTCTAACAAAGTAAAAATATATCTGCTCCTGATACTTATTGAAAGAGTCAACACGCTTATTACCTTATAACACAACTACAATTGTTATGAACTAGTGTTATTCTTGAGTTTGTTTAATGAACATTTAATTCCTGTGCAAAGCAATCACTTTGTACAATGACAATAAAAAGTAATTAATTTACAGTCAATTGAAATATTTGGAAAGCTTACCAATGCAATGGTTGATACCACTGGCTCGTGAAGCAGAAATTGAATTCAAGTTGAAATAAATGTTTCCAACATCAACAGAAGTTCATTTTCATTCTTTAATTTTACAGTAAACAATGACATAATAAAATTAATGATAAAGTATGTTTCAAGAAATTAGGAAAGGCCACCCCCACAAAAAGGCCAAGAAGTGAGCAAATAACCAAAACTAACAGGACTTCAATTAAAAAAAAAAAAAAAAAAAAAAAAAAAAAAATTACATAGAAAACAAAGCTTTTATAGCCAGACATCTAACTTTATCAGTTTACATAAAACATATAAAGATTTGTATCCTGACTTTCACGTCAGACTAATTTTTTAAAATTTTTCTTACAAAAAAAAAAAAACTTCTTTTTTTTTTTTTTCCTTTTATGTGCTATGCCTCTTCAGGGCATAGACAATCATGACTCATCACAATTTCCTATCTTTTGTAACTCTAAACAATGTTTCTCTCCTTCCTATCTTCCCAGTTCCTGTTCTGTCATCCATTTACATAAACTTGTAAGGTAGGTTACTTGCTGTTTCCCCTTGCTCCTCTTGCTTTCAATATACTGTGAGTTTTTCAAATTTCTGAGCCATATTTCCTCATTATGTGTCCCAGAAATTTCAACTATTTCTTTCTGATTCTTTAAAACTTACTCATTGGTCACATGCTTCATCCATGGTACACTCATCATCCTTCTGTAGAACTACATCTCTATTGCATCAAGTGTTCTTTTCATCTCTGATGAAATTGCCCAGTACTCACTCCATATTAGAGGACTGATATCACATACAGTTCAGAACTCTTCATTGATTCTAATAAAATTTTCCTGTTTCTTAATACTTCGTTTTGTTTTTGGAAGAAATATTTCACAATTTCAATGTACCTTTGAATTTCGGTCACATTTTCTGTCATAACACTTCCCAGGTAGTTAAATTTCTGTACTTGATTGATTTCGACATTTCCATTTTATAGCTGCCATCTTGAGATGACCTGTTTGCTAATGACCATACATTTTGTCTTCTTAAAATTGAGTCTCTTCTTTTCACTTTCCTTTACTACCTTGTCTAAGATTTCCTGCAGTTTTATTTTTGTATCTGCAATCAACACAGTGTCATCTGAACATCTTATGTGTTAAGATACAAGACACATTATGACAAGAATAAGTAGAGTGAGGAGACATTTGTCAAGAAATTAGGAAGCAGTCAAAGCAATGCCACTAACAAAAGAAAATAAAGATAACTAAAACTTATACACAATTTCATCATGCTACAATAGACACTCTCTCACATGCAGAGACAGTGAGAAATAAACAGGTATCTGCAATGGATACTTTTCAAATGTCTTACAACACTAATGTTTAGCTTACCTGTAGAGTTTGGGAATGGCATGGGCTGCAGTCTTGCGCACGTAGGGGGACATGTCCATGACTGCCTCTTTGATGGCCAACATCATGATGGGAACAATGACAGGGACACGGATACTGGACAACACACGTAGGGCACTGGCTCGAATTAGTTGGTTAGGGTCCTGTAGAAATTAAAAAAATGAAGCCATTCCAATTCTTTAATAAAAAATGAGATGACATGATGGAAGTGAAATTAAGATAACAGTGGTGTATGTATGTGTATATATATATAAGAGAGAGAGAGAAAAAGAAAGAAATTTACCTTAAGGGCCCTTTGGAACGTACTTATTGAAAGCAGAGCAAGGTCCTGCTGCTCTTCTGCATATCGTGTTAAATAGACATACACAAGCTTTTTTACCTAGAAAAGATGAATACAATGATTTAAGATGATACAATGGTTAGTGAGCTCATTTCACAGATCAATTCATTCATATAATAAGATTAATAGTCACTAAGTACTCTACTAGTGTGGCCTTGTGCCAAACCAAACAAAGTTTAGTAAATATCAAGTAAAATTAATGCCAACTTTATTTTCATTATACATTGAATATATAAACAAACTCCCTCACCAACATGATGTGACTTCCCTCTGTCTTATCTCTTTGGTGACGTGACTGTATGAATTTAAGTGTGCTTGGTAACTAGGTCTCACCATTTTACTGTTGAACTAGTAAGATGTAACCCTAAGTTCTATTCTAATAGTTTCTTTTTTCATCTGTTGAATTTCTTGCTTCCTTGCCACCTACAATCTTCAAACTTTTAAATGCAACATTAACCACCATATTCTCTCTTCCTGAAACCTGTTCTTTTATTGTCCTTTCTCCTCACTAAAGTCTTCACACTATCTTTCACCCCCAGTTACATTATTACCTTGCTTGGGGTGAAATAATTAAAAAAAAAAAATTAATAAATAAATAGATAGCTAATTTAATGAAGAGAGATTTGAGGATGACTAACCTCAAGGTTTTTAGACACAACATTTTTCACAACTGCTGGAAACAGGTCAGATGCATCTTTTCCTTTGGCAACCATCTGAAAAGTCAAAGAGAGTGAATTAAGAGTGAAAAATTTAATTCAAACAGCAAAAAGAATCATATGGAAAAAATGAATGAAATGAAGCAATAAAGGTAAATATTGTCACATACAGTGTACAGCAGAAAGACCTTCCATTTAATGGTAAGACATTAGCTAGATGAAGACACCATTACCACTAATGTCCCATTACATGGGAGGTATTTTTGCTGTACCCTGCACATAATGAGAAAAGAGATATTTATGTTTATTGGTAATTTTTTTTATTAGAACAATTTTCTTTTATTCAGTAATTTTACAATGCTCACATTGATATTCAATTTAGGAACATATTAAGTAATATTTGCAGTACTCATGAAAATTTAATGATTTTCCTATGTCTGGAATTTTCTGTAGAGTCCTATTTCATAATTTCTTTATTCTTCTTTCTTTATTTTCCCTTCCTATTTCTTTCTTATTGATATATAGCTAACTTATTAATTGTTGCTTCTAATTGAGCATTCAACCTGTTCATAATAGAACTGATTTTAACAAAGACATTGCTAAAAAATTAATCTAATTTCATAAACTTACAATAAAAATGGAAAAAGATTCATATTAAAAATATTTATTCTTGTCTTAGTACATTAAACACAGCAATTTTTTCTCAAGTAATGATGACCTGACATGTCAAAAACACCCAATCTTATTATTTGTGAACCTTAAAGCAAGTGTCTTTAAGCTTTAAAATCAAAGTTTTAAATCCAGGCTCAATATTTAATTTAATACAAGTTGTGAGGTTGGTTTACATCCAAGAAGAAAATACTATGTATAACTATATTGTCACTTGAATATCTTATTCTTCACAAATACAGGACATGGCTGGTGGGGAAATATTTAACAAATCTAATGCTGCCTGTAAAGAGCAATTTTCCTTTATTTAATTGGTTTGAAAAAGGATCCTTCTCCAAGGTGAGTATTATTGTAAACAGAACATTGGAATACAACTTTATGTTTCTTTGATTTTCAACCCTCCTTCATTTGTAGTTAAAATTGGAATCAAAAGCAAATTTTAACTTACTAAAATTAGTTTATGTAGTAAGCTTTAAAGAACTTAATGCATATAATTTGACTTAAGTATTAGAAAGTCAAAACATGACTTTATTTCACTGCAATACAATTTCAATCAAATTCTACTAAAAATCAATTGATTAATATACAAGAATCAAATACCAAATTTTGTTTTTTTTAAACAAAATATAAACAGTGAAAAAAGAAAAAAAAAGAGTAACACAGAGACAAATAATTGCTTACACCAATAATTCTTTTCATAGCCTCCAACTTCAAGTTATCTTTGTTCCCATCCAACATAGTTTTGAGATCTTCATGTCTACAAAACATCAAATATGATGAAAATTAAATAACATATGCATTTAACAACTGTGCAACAATTGATTTTATATTGATGAAAGCTCTCTAATTAAAAAAAAAAAATGCCATAATTCTTTTGGCAAGTAACAATATACAAAGAAAAATATAGTTTACACACAGGATCCTTATTCCTCCTGGCTGACATTAATCTTTTTGGAAGATGAAACAATCACTATTTCTGTCAAATCAAGCATGAATTGTTTTATAGAACAAACTGATAAAAATTAAAGCAAGAATAAAATATTTATTAAGAAAAAGGAAAAAACTGTTGCTTGAGTATGTTTTCATTACTAGAAACACATACACATTTTTTTTGTATTCAAATGTAAAATAAATTAAAAAAAAAGAAGAGAGAGAGAGAATTTAAATTTTTTTTATTAATCCGACAGATTTTTATCACTTTAGACATTATTTTTAGTAGGTGCTCCATAAACATATAAAAAAGTGATAAGGATGCTGGAAGACTAAATGAAAAATTAATTAAATCTGCCTAGTACTGAGGAATGTGGGAAAGGAAGACATTTTATGTAAAACAGATGAAACATGAAAAACACTTTCTTTATTCAATTCAAACTAAATTTTTTATTTTACTCCCTCCTGATATGTGTGTTCGGGGCCGTCACACCCTCTGCCTCATCCACCCTTACACTACACTGGATTCAGAGCAGATTTTCGATTTTACAAAAAGAAAATCTGATTTTAAAGTTTTACAAAATTTAATTTTTCGAAATTTGATAAAATTTTGAGAGTGGGAGGTAACAGATGTAAAAAAAAATTATCAAGATTTTCTAAAAAGAAATATTTCTAAAATAATTTCATTCATTTGTGAAGAATAAGTCTTGAAAGTTTCATTAAAATCCGACATTTGACTTTTACAAGAATTTATTTCTACCTACACCAATGTTTTTTCACCGCAAAAAAAGACGCTAAAATTTCCTCTTTGGCCACCGCGCTGACGAAAAAATAATAATAAAAAAAAAAAAAAAGATTTTAAAAAATTTCGAATGTTCTAAAAAAAGATCAAAAAAATCCTTTGGTCTTTCCTCTTAGTCTTACTCTTTCTTAAATAATAACAAAGATTTTGTTTTGACAATAAAACTTAGTTTTAAGTTTATGGATTTTTCATCAATACATATGGATGCTAATGTTTTACTTTTAATTTTTTAGCGAATCGGTGGTGGTATCTAGATCGCGCAACAAGTAATTTGTAATTAAAATTTCCGCTCATAAAAAAAAAAAAAAAAAATCAAAAAATCACTACCTTCAGTTGAAGTACAACATACAAATTGGTCCCTTTCAAACGTCAGATTAATTATAAAAGACTAAGAAGAGGGTATACGAATGATAATTTTTAAAATATCCCTTAAAGCGTAGTGTTTTTGTTCTCTCTCCTCAGAGGGGGGGGGCACTGGCCCTGGAGAGATGGGGGGCCGGTGTAAATATCGACAAAATATTTTGTCTCATTATCTTTCATCTATTTTTATTGTTTTGAAAATACTCAATACCATGTGGTTAATCAACTGGAAAGGATAAAAAATAAAACAAAAACTTTTGTTTGAACGTACCTTATTGTGTATATTTTTTTAATGTTAATTAATTAATTGTGAAGAATAGGAATCTTTCCTATAATTATTTTCTTTCCTACTTAGAGAGAAAATAAAAAAAGAATAATTTAGGTAAGTTACAGGCCTCCCACTGTGTTATTCAGCATTTTTTTTTTTTTGTATAGGGAAACTTGCTACTTGAGGTTTTCAGCAAGAAAATAATGTACTTTTTTAATGTTATGAATTTAAATGGTTTTGTCAAATAAAACTGAATTTGTTTTATTTGATTTACGAAAAGGGGGAAACGGTGTCAGTGTGATTACTTCGTAACCATACTGTCTGTGTAAGAAAAAGAGACTTTATTCAATTGGTCTTTTTGTGCCATATTGCTGCAAAAAATGAACGATAAGAAAAGTAAATAACATCTGACGAAATTTCCTGAATCGTGAATGATTTTGTAAGATTTGTTTGTAAGCATGTCCACTGTTTTCGGAAAAACAGCATAGCGTAAATGAAAAATGCCACAAACTTAAAAGAAAATAAAGTATTATCGTCAAAATGCTTATGTTATTATTTAGATGAAAGAAAAAAAGTATTTTTTAATTATTTTTTTGAAATTTTTTAATAATTTCTAACACGTTCGGTTTTGTCTTTGTTTACGTCATCGCGGCGACGTTTAAAAATAACATAGTTTTTTTTTTTTTTTTACCGTTGAAAACATATTGATTTGGAAATTCTTGTAAAAATAAAATAATTGTCCAATCTTAATGAAATTTTTCAGGACTTATTCACAAAATGAATGAAATTATTTTTGAAATATTTTTTTAGAAAATTTTGGTAAAATTATATTTTTTAAAATATGTTACCCACATTTTACTTAATTTAATGAAATTTCAATTTTTTTGTTAAAAGTAGGAGTCTTCGAAGATGGTAAATAATCTACTTTTCTTTCACAAATTTGAGCTATTTAACTGAAAATCTGCTCTGAATTGAAAATAATGAATCCAATAAAACTATGATATTACTTAATTAGAAAAGCTTTTAATTGCTTTTTGTAAATAAGTAATATTAAGGACATTACTGAAGAAATAATTTTTTCTGATGAATAATTAATTTTTACAAGAATTTTTTCCTTTTTAAGAAATTTTAATTATAATAATTTATAATAGTTTTAAATCGTGCTCTGTATGATTATTAATTAAGTAGAAAAAAAAATTTACGAATCCAAAATTGCTAAGTTTAATAAATTTAGTTGCGCTAAAAAATAATTTTTATGTTGTATTTTTTTTAAATACATTCCTTATTTCCATGTATGATATACAAAAATTGCCATTATTATAACAAGGTCACGTGATCTAAGGGTTTTGTCCCTTTCAAAACATTTCGTTTATTAACAGATTGTATTTTCCGATCAGCTGTAAAAGTGTAAACTTTAAATTTTAAATTATTTTTTCTTTTTTTCATTTACTATTTCACTAAATAATTTTATTTTATGTATTGTATTTCCATTTATTTTCATACTCAAATAGAATAATTTTTTTTAAAAACTCAGACTTAAAAATTATGTCATTTATGATCAGTAGTAGCTGTCATCGGCTCGTCAATCAATCAATCAGTAAGATCGAACAACTGAACAGGACCGCTCGTTAATAATTGGTTGTATAATTTTTTATGCTAAAAGTAAAAAGATTTCTTTGAAATCAGATTACTTTAACTTTAAATTTTTAATTTTACTAAAATAACGTGTCAGAATTTTTTTAAATTTTTTGTGTTTGTTTATTTCTTAAAATTAAGAAAATGGCCGTTTTAAGAAAATTTTTTTGAAATTAAATCTGACAATCAAACGTATATAGTTTCTATCTGAAATACACCAGAATTGTTTAATTAATAGAAATCGTACATTTAATTATTAAACTTTCGATTAAAGCTAAATGAAATCTTCAAGAATGTTTTTCGTTGTAAAAAATTCATTTTAAACTTCGATATAGAAAATTTATGCCGAAATAGTGGACATACAGGGTATAACAATATAACATCAATTCTTGAAACCAGCAAAAATTTAACACGATTTTATAATTCTGTATTTTTTAAGGCTTGATGACATGTTGAATTTGTTTTTTTTTTTTATTTATTTATTTTTTAATATTAAAAAAGTTTTCAATTAGTCTCACATTTTCAAAGATTCCAACAAATTTGTTTTTAACCAAATTTTTATTAAAAAAGTTTTTACCACATTTGTTTACATTTTCACATAATGTTACACAACAAACAAAATTACTTTTTATCGCTACTACTCACATCACATGATTTGCAAAAAGCAGCTAAAAAAATAAAAAATAAATAAAAAATGTTTAATAAAAAATATTTTGCCTATCAAATAAAATGTTGAAAAATATAAATATTTTTATTAAAATAATAAATTTGCTTTTTAATCATCTGTTCATTTTTTTTGTTTTAAATGGATTTTATTTTTAAATTAAAAAAAAAAATTCGAAAAAATACGCTGTTTAAAACAAAAAGTTGTGGAAAAATATTAAAATTATTATGTTCTATCTTTCTTATTTATCGACTGTATTGGTAGTTTGTGTTCGAATTAAATAATTAACAAAAAATACATATTTTTTAAAAATCAATTTACACACAATTTACAAACAACTCTTTTCAAATAAATAGAAAAAACACCATAGATTCAAAGAATTATTTAAAAAATAAAATAAATATTCAGAATAATTTATTTTAAGGCTATCGAAAAAAAATGTGATCAGAGAATTAAATTTTGAATAAGTCTTCCTTTATTTTGTTTATTTTTTCGAGGAAGTTACAAAAAAAAATGACAATTAAAAAAATAAAATTTTTTATTTCAAGGATTTTTTTTATAATCTGATTATTTTTATATTTCATTTAGTACAAAATTTCGGTTAAAATTATTTAAAATTAATTATAAATTTAAATAAATAATAAACTTACTTCTTGAAGTCATTGGTGAAAAATCCGCTACTGGCCGGGTCATTAGCAATATCAACTTCACCGCTGCCGGTAGACGATGGAGGCTTATCGTTGCCATACGACATGTGCATCCCGTTTCCAGCCATAATTCACTATTTCTAAAAAATAATCTACCAAAACCTAAAGAAATGAAAGCCACTATTCTTGCTCAACTAAATCGCCTCTCCTCCCTCTAGGGTAGGTGGCTTTCTCTTCTCTAAACACTAAAAACAAAGAGCTGTTCCTACTTACTTCCTTGCTGCCTTCAAAATGGCAGGCACCGGAAGTCAACATATACGCCCCTCTCAAGCCACTTCATATGTTACCAGCTGTTCGTTATGAAAGGATAATAAATAAGTCTAAAGTGCAAATAGTAAACAAAATATTTAGGAATTTTATTACAAAAAAACTATTGCTTTTACATTTACGAACTATAAATATTTTTTTAAATCTTTTTTAAACAAATAAAATATATGACGTCATTAGCTAAAGAACCGGAAGATACTATTGACACGGTTTGTTGACGTATAAAATACGATAATTCATATGTTATTAGACTGTTGCCGGGTAAATAGGCATTAGGGGCAGACGACAATTTTAAAAAACAAATTTAGATTTTCTGAATCTTTTAAAATTCTGATTTCGTACGCTAAATCAATTTGTATTATTTTTTTATAAAAAGTAGAAAAAAATTTATTTATGAAAATCTGTCGTTAAAGCCAAAAAACAAAATAATAAAAGCTAAAGTACAATATGGCAAAAAAAAAAAAATTACCACTTGTTAAGAACATTATCAAGTAGCATTTGATAATTTTAAAAGTTTTGTTTTCCCAAAGTAAACATTCAAATTAAATCAAAAAAGTAAAGTAATTATCTTTTTTTATATAATTTATCTGCATATTGTGTGTGAGAGAGAAAAAGAGACAGTTTTTTTGTGCAATCTTTTCATGAATTGTTTCTAAGTTATAATGCAAATTGGCTATTTGGATCATTTTACAACAAATTGGCACTATCCCTTGCTATATATATTGATAATTGTAATTTCCACAATAGGTGAACTTAATAAATATAACATTTCCAGGAATTAAAACATATATCTTGCCTTACACAGAATTGATCTGGGTACCTTTTGTAGATTAACAGTCAGTAAGTTGCAATGAGTTGTATTTATTATAACAGACATTATTATTTTCTGGTCACATTTTGTTCTCTTAAAATGTTCTTCTTTGCCTTAATTCACAATCAAAATTCTTTTATATATTAACAATGACCTCTATTTTCACCCACACTATAAATATGGAAATATGATAATTGGAACAGCTGTTGTGACTTCCAGATGCTTTCTGGTAGAAAAAAAAAGTCCTGTCACTCATATATACCTATATCATATAAATGCACATACACATACACATACACACATACATAGGAAATAGTACAGAAACTGATGATAGAAATAAATTTACCATCACAACATAGCATTACTATACATGCAGTATAATAACACTTATATACATTTGTAATTTTCTAAAAGAAAAAGTAATTTACTAAGGTAATAATGTATAGAAAGTACACTGATTTCTGAGTTTTCCAAAGTAAATACATGTGTGAATAAAAACAAGTACAGGTGCATAACATATTTACAGAAACTAAAATTAGAAAATAGTTTGTTCATGCAGCAAATTATAACTATATAAAGAGACAGAGAAATGTGAATTAAGGTCTTACTTGAGAGTTGACTTGGTTGTATAGTGTGCCTGTGATGTAGATTCAGCATAAAAAGGCAAAAGAAAGCACAGACAAACTAGATGTGATGGCTCTTAGGAATGGGTACCAAGTGGCCAGGCAACTTATATTTTGCACTTCTACCCATACTGTTATGTGATATTTTTCTTACCTTTGACATGTGCATAAATTATAGCTGAGTCAAGGACAGATAACTTCTGCAATGCTACAATAACAAGTGGACATCTGCTGTAGTACAATAGTTAGCAATTTAGTCTAGTGGGCTAATTCACTAATATAGGGAGTTCAGTTATAACACTTGTAAATTTGTGCTGTAAGCTAATAAAATACTAATATGAGTCTTAACTTCAGTACCTATTATAGCATAATAGCTCACATATTCATCTCACAGATCAATTTGCTGGTGCAGTTCTGTCTGCACTGGATGCCTCACTACTATACCTATTATATATATATATATATATATATATATATATATATATATATATATATATATTATGAAATGAACTAAGTCTGACAATTATTTTAATATATTTTATTGTTATACATTATTTACATAGACACAAATATTTAAGTAAATGCTCTGTTTATAATAAACAGTATTAACAACATTTACTGCTCTAAGTGTCAGAGAAATTTCATAAAAATATGCATCCTCCAACAGGAACAAACCTGTATTTTACACGGAACAGTCATATAGCCTGACATGCTATATCAGTTTACCTACCAAAGGCCGGTAAATGTTGTTAATACTGTTTATTATAAACAGATCATTTACTTACATATTTGTGTCTATATAAATAACATATAACAATAAAATATATAAAAATAATTGTTGGACTTGGTATAATGATATAGTATATGACATCATTTGTTTACATTAAGATACACTTTTAGCAAATATGAAGGTTTGAGGGAAATCATGGGAAATTTGTAGTTTAAAAGCAGTAAATCAACCATGTTAACCAGATGCTTTATTTGTAGCTAAACTGGTATAGCATATCAGGCTATATGACAGTTCTATGTAGGATACTGGTTCAATTCCTGTTGGATGATGCATATTTTCTATGAAATTCCTTGGACATTCAGGCCAGTAAATGTTGTTAATACTGTTTATTATCAACAGAGCATTTACTTAAATATTTGTGTGTATATAAATAATGTATAACAATAAAATACATATATATATATATATATATATATATAACAAGTTTGATTAAAAAGAACTGACAAGGCCTGTTTAATTTTTTATTATACTTTTCCAAATTCCAACATAAGAGGTGGAGTATTATATTTGAAGTTGTGGATAAATTGTGCAAAGTTCATATTTTTGTTCAAGTACTTTCAACTTTCCAGTCATTATTAAGAATTGATGTGGTGCTTGTGTGGTAGTTTTAACTCCTTTGTCTGCATCTTGATAGTCATTAGAATGCTGGACATTTGAAATGATCTAACATTTTGATTATTAATGTTGGAGATGAAATCTCTCAAAGGTCATGAGAATTCATAGATGTTATTTTTACATAGAGGGGATTTATGAGGCCCGGTGTTGTTGGTAATAATTATGTTGACACTAATGATAAAAAACAACACTAAATACTTACGTTGGGCACACATGCACCACATTCTTACACAAATTGACTTATCATCTATCAAAACTTAGTGCAATCGATCAACACATCATGAAGAGCCAAAATGTAAATATCAACATAAGACAAATATTAGTTGACAACACCAAAATACTGTATAGCGCCAGTTGCAAGGAAAGACTCAAAACTCTAGAGCTATTGTTATACAAAATAAACAACCTACATTAAATATCATTCACCACAGGAAATGGTATCTAGAAGTACATATGATATAATTGATGTGAGCACATATTATATTAGTATTAAAAATTAACAAATAAATTAATTGATAAAAGAAATAAATCACATTATTTTTGTTATACTCTGCTGTAATTAGATCTTTTTCTGATTCATTCTACATACCAACCAGATGTGAACGCCATGAAGGCAGAAAACAAAATGAAAAAGTTGGTTTTTATGCATAGGCTCCGAACATCACATCCACAATGAAATTGACACTGGCCAATTTTGATTGTTCCTGCGAGAAAAGAAGATGTCTCTGGGGACTGCCAGATCTGCTTAAAAGCAGACCTCCCATAACGACCACCAACAGTTGCCAACCGTGAAGGCTACCTGCTGACATGCATGACCAACATGACTGCTCCTCTTAACTCAACTGTTACCACTCTTAGGCTTGACTAATCACCCTACTCTTCACACATGGAAAGCAGAGACCAGTTTTGACACTGCCAGGCTCTCAACACCCACCAACATGATTTATAACATCAAACATGGAATCCAGCAGAGACCAGCTTCGACACCACCATGTGCCTGACACCAAACCATCGGGATCAGTAACATCTCAACATTGACGCCACCCAAATAGAAGCCTTCCCTGTTGCCACCACTGTTACTTTGGCATACCCAACTAAGCATTCCCTCGCTGTCATCACCGCGGCCATGTTTCATTAAAACAACATCTAACTTCCCTGTTGCCACCAACCCAACTCACTACAGGCATACCCTCACAAGTGAGACATTCTACTACAGGCCTAACAGCTACACCTAATTCCTTGTCACCACTGCTGTCACCTTGGCATACCCAACTCATTACAGGCATTCCCTTGAAGTTATCACCATGACCCCATTTTGTTGAGACAACATCTGACTTCCTCATCACCACTAACACAACTTGCTACAAGCATTCCCTCACAGTGAGACATTCTACCACAGGCCTACCATGAATCAACCCACCACTGTGACCTTGATCAATCAACATGTGCATCAGACCCACCAATGACTATGTCTTGTGACCAATATATTCTTGTAGTGGGACATTCCACCACAGGCCTACCAGCTACACCAATCCCTCATTTCAATAATCAACACACCCTACCATGAATCAACCCACCGCTGTGACCTTGATCGATCAACACTTGCATCAGACCCAACCAATGACTATATCTTGTGACCTCGGTCAAACCAACCCAAGAAATCGGTCAACTTTCGGGGCTACCCTTACACCTAATTGCCTTCTTGATGATCAGCAACCGAAACCTACAATTCACTAATTTTCCAACAACACAAGATATCTTGTATATTAAACAAATACACATTGTTTAAAAACCTAATCCTTGTTATTCCTTTCCCTTTGCAACTAAATGCTTATTATAACATTTTGTACTGTGTCATTCCCAATAGCAGTTAGACAATATCACATTAGACCATTTCAAACATATAGCAGCCTAATGAATACCAAGACTACCACATCAATT